GTACCAAGGCCAAACACTCCAGGGCATTTGATCAGGGCCATATATATATATATATATATATACACACACATACACCCTTATACAGTGTATATATACACTCACCAACCACTCTATTAGGTACACCTGTTCAGCTGCTTGGTAACACAGATTGCTAATCAGCCAACCACATGGCAGTAACAATGCATTTAGGCATCTAGACGTGAAGATGACTTGCTGAAGTTCAAAATAGCATTGGAATGGGGAAGAAATGGATTTAAGTGACTTTGAGCGTGGCATGGTTGTTGGTGCCAGACAAGCTGGTCTGAGTATTTTGAAAAACTGCGGATCTACAAGGATTTTCATGTACAACCATCTCTAGGGTTTACAGAGAATGGTGCGAAAAAGAGAAAATATCCAGTGAGAAACAGTTGTGTGGACAAAAATGCCTTGCTGATGTCAGAAGAGAAGGGGCGGACTGGTTCAAGATGATACAAAGGCAATGGTAACTTGTGTCAATATGGACAAAAACTCTGAGGAATGTTTCCAACACCTTGTTGAACCTATGCCATGAAGAATTAAGGCAGTTTTGAAGGCAAAAGGGGGTACAACCTGGTACTAGCAAGGTGTACCTAATAAAGTGGCCGGTGAGTGTGTTAATTTATATTGTTTCACAGTATAAACTAACCACTCATAGCAGTGATTTGCGTATATATATATACACATACACACACACACATACATGAATGTATATACATGCATACATACACACACACTAAAATAATGTGGTTGCATAAGTGTGCACACCCTCTTATAACTGGGGATGTAGCAGTGTTCAGAATTAAGCAATCACATTTAAAATCATGTTAAATAGGAGTCAGTTCACACCTGCCATAATTTAAAGTGCCTCTGATTAACCCCAAATAAAGTTTAGCTGTTCTAGTACGTCTTTCCTGACATTTTCTTAGTCGCATCCTACAGCAAAAGCCACGGTCCACAGAGAGCTTCCAAAGCATCAGAGAGATCTGATTGTTAAAAGGTATCAGTTCAGGAGAAGGGTATAAAAGAATTTCCCAGGCATTAGATATACCATGGAACACAGTCATAATCAAGAAGAGAAGATATGGCGCAACAGTGACATTACCAAGAACTGGACGTCCCTACAAAATTGATAAAAAGACAAGCAAAAAACTAGTCTGGGAGGCTGCCAAGAGGCCTACAGCAACATTAAAGGACCTGCAGGAATATCTGGCAAGTGCTGGCTGTGTGGTACATGTGCAAACCGTATTCTTCATATGTCTGGGCTATGGGGTAGAGTGGCAAGATGGAAGCCTCTTCTTACGAAAAAAAACATCTAAGCCCAGATAAATTTTGCAAAAACACATCTGAAGTCTCCCAAAAACGTGGGAAAATTTGTTATGATCTGATGAAACCAAGGTTGAACTTTTTGTCCAAAATTCCAAAAGATATGTTTGGCACAAAAACACCACTGCACATCACCAAAAGAACACCATACCCACAGTGAAGCATGGTGGTGGCAGCATCATGCTTTGGGGCTGTTTTTCTTCAACTGGAACTGGGGCCTTAGTCAAGGTAGAGGGAATTATGAACAGTTCCAAATAACAGTCAATATTGGCACAAAACCTTCAGGCTTCTGCTAGAAAGCTGAACATGAAGAGGAACTTCATCTTTCAGCATGACAACGGCTCAAAGCATACATCCAAATGAACAAAGGAATGGCTTCACCAGAAGAAGATTAAAGTTTTGGAATGGCCCAGCCAGAGCCCAGACCTGAATCCGATCGAAAATCTGTGGGGTGATCTGAAGAGGGCTGTTCACAGGAGATGCCCTGACAGATCTGGAGTGGGCAAATATTGCCAAGTCAAGATGTGCCATGCTGAGAGACTCATACCAAAAAAGACTGAGTGATGGAATCACATCAAAAGGTGCTTCAACAAAGTATTAGTTTAAGGGTGTGCACACTTATGCAACCATATTATTTTAGTTTTTTATTTTTACTTCCTTCCACCTAAAAATTTCAGTTTGTTGTTCAACTGAGTTGTACAGTTTATAGGTTACATTAAAGGTGAAAAAAGTTCTGAAATGTTTTATCTTTGTCTCATTTTTTTACATCACAGAAACCTGACATTTTAACAGGGGTGTGTAGTCTATTTATATCCACTGTATATACATACATACACACATATATACAGTTGTGTTCAAAATAATAGCAGTGTGTTGAAAAAAGTGAATAAAGCTCAAAATCCTTCTAATAGCTTTTATTGCCAAACACACAAATGCATTGGGAACACTACACATTCTATTCCAAAGCAAAACATGAAGAAAAATATATCAAATTTGTGTTGTTCCTCCAAAAAATTGAAGAAAAGTGAATATTAGACTGTTCAAAAAAATAGCAGTGTTTGTATTCTTCTTTACAAACTCAAACATTCACTACATAAAGTGAAAAATGTTTGAAGATTTTGCTTTCCTTTGAATCACTTAATTAATATTTGGTTGTATAAGCACTGTTTCTGAGAACTGCTGTACATCTGTGTTGCATGGAGTCAACCGACTTCTGGCACCTGTGAACAGGTATTCCAGCCCAGGATGATTGGACTACATTCCACAGTTCTTCTCTATTTCTTGGTTTTGCCTCAGAAACTGCATTTTTGATGTCACCCCACAAGTTTTCTATTGGATTAAGATCCGGGTATTGGGCTGCCCACTCCATAACGTCAATCTGGAACCAAGATGTTGCACGTTTACTGGTGTGTTTGGGGTCGTTGTCTTGTTGGAACACCCATTTCAAGGGCATTTCCTCTTCAGCATAAGGCAGCATGACCTCTTCAAGTATTCTGATGTATTCAAACTGATCCATGATCCCTGGTATGCGATAAATAGGCCCAACACCGTAGTATGAGAAACATCCCCATATCATGATGCTTGCGCAACCATGCTTCACTGTCTTCACAGTGTACTGTGGCTTGAATTCAGTGTTTGGGGGTCGTCTGACAAACTGTCTCCGGCCACTAGACCCAGAAACAACAATCTTACTTTCATCAGTCCACAAAATATTGCACCATTTCTCTTTAGGCCAGTCAATGTGCTCTTTGGCAAATTGTAACCTCTTCAGCACATCTTTTTTTCAACAGTGGGACTTTGCGGGGGCTTCTTGCAGATAGCTTGGCTTCACATAGGCATCTTCTAATTGTAACAGTACTCACAGGTAACTTTACACCTTCTTTGATCTTCCTGGAGCTGATTGTTGGCTGAATCCTTGCCATTTTGGCTATTCTTCTATCCATTCGAATGGTAGTTTTTCGCTTTCTTCCACGTCTTTCAAGTTTTGGTTGCCATTTTAAAGCATTTGCGATCATTTTAGCTGAGCAGCCTATCATTTTCTGCACTTCTTTATGTTTTGCCCTCTCCAATCAACTTTTTAATTAAGGTACGCTGTTCTTCTGAACAATATCTGGAACGACCCATTTTCCTCAGAATCTCAGAGAGAAATGCACTGTAACCAGCATGTACAACATTTGCTGCCTTCCTTCCTTAAATAAGGGCAATAATTGCCACCTGTTTTTCAAAGAATGAATGACCTCACTAATAGAACTCCACACTGCTATTATTTTGAACATGCCCCTTTCAATTAGTGATTCAATTACACAGAATCAGCAGCATGTATGTCATGACTGTTGGGTCTGTTGGATTTCTATTACTCTACTACACCTGCTAGTAAATTATTTGCCATGTAGAACTATCATTTCTACCAAAAACAGTGATTGATCAGGTTAGTGATGTCTGACTGCTATTATTTTGAACACAACTGTACATACACACATATACAGTATGTATATGTATACATACATACATATATCTTCTGTTATTCTTAGAGTGGATTAGATATTTTGTTCCCCATCTATTTAGCTGGTTATTTATATTTACCAATCCATATAGATATTCAATAATATATTTTTTTTAACTTTACATATTAACTAAATTGCATACCACACTTTTCTTTTTTTAGGTTTTTATCAGATTAATCCAAACAATGAAATCGGCCAACTAAATGATTATGTAGATAATAGTTAGCTCTAGCCCTAGTATGGACTCACCATAATAAATCTTTACATTGATTTTGGGGTGCACTAGTCATGTATTGGTATAAGTTGCACAACGGACATGTTCATTTTGCAATTATTAAATGTTTTATATTTGTAGCACTGTACATTTCTGTTTAATTTGAATCTTCTGAGCCTAGATGGGAACAAGAAGTGTTATATAGGGCAGTGTTTCTCAACCTTCTTTTAGGCAAAGCATCCTTTAAATTATGGACAATTTCAAGGCACCCTCTAAAACTATTGACAGTCCCGAGGTAACCTTTAAAATTCTGGACTACTCTAAAAGTTTTATACAACACAGCAACATCCACACACGTAGAACACCCAACATTAGAGGTGATTTATTTGTCCAAAGCACATACACTTTTGCACACTGGTACTGACTAGTATTCCATTGTTTCTCTTCTTCAGTTTTTGTCCATCACTGAGCTGATGTGACCCCAGCACAGACAGAAAGGGACAAGGGAGGTCAAAAAAAGGATGCTATGCTGGTAACGGACATCCTCCTTATCAACTGATGATGTCATTGGTTGTCAGGACGCTGGCGGCTAGAAGGTCGTAATGGTGCTCAATGAAAACCTGTGGCTTTGTGTAACAAAGGCAGACTTTCTCCACGTGCTGGCTTGTATATAAGTTTTGGGCAGTTTTTAGACATTTTGCCAAGGCACCCCTAAAGAAACCTCAAGGATGATAATGTGGCTCTCTCTTTAGTCAGAGTCTAATCACCTGAAGGTAGCTGCATGTAAACCATGGTTAAATACTAAAGCTCCTGTGTCCTGTACTGCACACATAAGAAACCACATTTTCATAGAAGACGCACTGTATTAGTGCACTTGCAAAAAGTATCACGGACAGTACTCAATTGTTCTTTTCTAAATCACAAACACATGTTGCTCTCACCCCTTTCAGGCTCTCTTTCAGGAGGTATCCTATATAAATAGAACCCATAGATAAAGGTTCTAAGTGTTTCTCCAGAAGCATGTGTAATATACTGCTCATCCAACATTTTCTGCAAGATACATACATAATTTAGTTTTGATTAAAAAGCAATATACAAAATATCTAATTATCACTGTAGAGAATGCAGGCAGTTTTCTTACCTGCATGATGTCCATTGCCACAGGTTGAGTCTGCACCCAGCTAATGTTATTGATGAGCCAATGTACAACTTCTGCACTGATAAAGCAGGATGGAGGAAGACCTTTCTGTTCTGATAGCAATGGAATACCTGTACTGCAAGAAATTCAGTAACACACCACTCATATTTAGGCGCACTGGACATCTTACTGCTTGTTTTTTTTAAACCGGTGAAAGCTTTTTCCATGTCAATATGCATATCAGCTATGTAAACTATAAATAAAGGGCATGAAACATCTTCTACACTAACCATGTTATATTATCACAATATCAAAATCCAGGAACAGAAAATGAATATGTTGCATCTTACCAGTCCTTAGATGTGGTGCATAAATTGAATTTTTCAGGCATCTTCTGCTAGTACTGCAACATTAATGTTAATTGCTAGAAATTCAGTCATTTTAACCTCCTGTGCGCTGAACTGAAATCCCATGTTAGCAGCCTTCCTATTTCCTTCCTCTAAACTCCAGAAGACCTCCCCCATGTTGTGAAGGTGTCTGTGGTCCAAACAAAGCAAGCAGCCTAGGGCAGTGGTCGGCAAGCCGCAGCTCGCGAGCCACATGCGGCTCTTTACACGCTTTAATGCGGCTCTTGTGTGCCGGGCGCCCGCTCCCCTCCCTCCTCTCGGGCGGCAGGGACTCTGCAGCGTGATCAAAAAAAAAAAACAGCCAGGGCAGCGCGCTCAAATGCAATGATTGGCCAGTCTCGCTGCCACTCACATCCTGATAGCCAGTGATTGGCTGTCAGGATGTGTGTAGGCGGGGCAGCGTGACGAACGTGAGAGGAGCTAGGCTCCTCTCACAGTCCGCCCTGAAGACCGGAACGGCGCGGGAACACGGCGAGAGGAACGCGCGGAGCAAAGGTAAGTGAATTGACACAGGGGGGACTTGGCTTACTACTTGCTACTTACTTACTACTACTATATGAGGGATGAATTAATAGGGGGGATGAATTACTATAGGAGGGGTGAATTACTATATGGGGGGTGAATTACTATATGGGGGATGAATTACTATATGGGGGATGAATTACTATTTGGGGGATGAATTACTATGTGGGGGATGAATTACTATGGGGGATGAATTACTATAAAAACTTATTGAAACTAAAAACAGTGTACCATCCTATGTATTTTCAGTTTTAAAAATGTGGCTCTCAAAATAAATTTCAGTCGTGGTTTTGGCGAGATTTGGCTCAGTTGAAAAAAAAGGTTGCCCACCACTGGCCTAGGGTGACAGCCTGCTGCTCCATAGATACAATACTGGGAGAGAAGGTTGTCAACCTAGAACAGGAAGTGTGTTATTGCCAAGATGAGTAGGTGAGAATAAAGGAATAGAAGCCTCAAAAAAAAAGAAAGGTAATGCAACACCCACATCTAAGGACTGGTAAGCAGAAATATATTATATTTTTGATTTTGGGTTTATATACGCTTTAAGTAAGGCTGTCACACTGTGCTAAATGTATAAATTAACAGCTTTTCTTCAACTCCTTCAAATGTCTAAAAATCTGTCAAACCATACCAGGTACTTACGTTGGGTGTTTCATAGCCTCTAGAATCTCACTCAGGCTGGCACTGGAAGGCAGAGTGCTTGGTCCCCCAGACATCTGTGGAATACTGAACCAAAATTACCTGTCAGAAATCACGTTTTACAAGCAGAATCACAAAAATGATAATGAAGTATGTTTACCTTGGCTCAGCTGATTGAAATGGCTGCTCTCCTATATTGCTTCCTTGAGTAACTGTTGGGGTGTTGTTTGTCAGGCTGCTGTTTCCATCAGTGTAAGGAGAGACTCCTTGATCAACAGAAATCTGTAACAGATGAGAATGATATTCGCATTAGAATAAAGGCTGAAAAAAGTTAACATCAGGCAATAATTAGGTTTTCAAAAACATTTTAAATACTTTGGCATGTTACAACCATGCCAAACAACCATTTACATGCAGCACACTGGACAGGATAATCAGATGCTGAAACACCGAGGAAATATTAGACTTCAGGGCACATGCAAAAGAAAAATCACTGGCCTGTAGGACCTGAAGGGAGAGCATTCTGCAACACAAGCAAAGGCATCTAATTTTTTTTAATTTTATTTTTAGGTATTTATGATAGCTGTCAGAGTAATGGTGGTGATGAGGGAGGGGGGAGGGGAATTGGCTTTCTGGGTTTAGGTCTGCTTTAAGTTAACCCTAAGAATTATGGTGCTTGTAAAGGAAAAAATAAAATAACAAACATGTCATACTTACCTGCTCTGTGCAATGGTTTCGCACAGAGCATCCCCAATCCTCCCCATTCTGGGGTCCCCCGCGAATGCTCCTCCCCCCTTACGAGTGCCCCCGTAGAAAGCCGCAGGCTGTGGGGGTATACATGTGGGCTCGATCCTGAGCTGGGCTCTATGTGTCCACTGATACACACAGCGTGACTTGACTCTCCCCTCCACTCCTTCCTCATAGGCTGTGATTGCAGGAGCAGGAGGAGCCAATGGCCGCTGCCTCCATGTCTATTGAGGAGGAAGAGAGAGAAGAGAGTCACTGCTCTTACGCACAGCACTGGTTCGAGATCAGGCTCAGGTAAGTATGGGAGGGGGGGAGCAGAACACAGCAGGTTTTTTCCCTGAATGCAGAGAATGCATAAAAGCAGAACTTCACTCTCTCAATAAACATTGATTATTTTTAATCCGTTTGCTGCTAGCATTAGTAAAAAGATAGGAAGGTATATCATAAGAAAAATTAATAATAGCGCCTATGGTCAAAATTATATAACTTACTAATAGTGTACCAGCTGCAAAAAAATCACCATATATAAAGTGTACCAATAAATAAATAATTTGCGCTAGTAAATGTGTATAAAAAAAAAAAAAAAAAAAAAAAAAAAAATCATCGGAGCTCCGTGAGGACGTCGATGACGAAACGCGTGGGGCGGAGCTTGATTGATGTGACGTCATTACGTTTTTGGCTGCCAGCTACTGCGCATGTGCTGAGTAGCCAGGCTCGTTTATGTGATTGCTGTTATGCTGTTGATGCTGGTGTCGGCTGGGACACCTCTTGAGTAAGTGCAATGAGTACCTAATAAAGGAATTGGTTTTTTATAATATTGCACCATGAAGTCTTTCTGTTTCTCTCGAGTGCTTGGCATTTCACCCCATGGATACGTTTGAAGGTGGTCCTTTATCTATTGGAGAAGTGGATTTTCGATTAACTACAAAGTTTTTCATCCTGTTATTTCGATCGATGAGGATCGGTGTGTTGCAGAGTTTCCGTTTCTGAAGATATATTTATGGATGATCTGCCATTATATTATCAAGGTTTTTTGGTGAAAAATTTTTCATATTTAGACACTTTTTTTGCACAAAAGTTTTTTGCACTTAAAAGTTTTTTTTAATTTTTTTGTGGTATTGGCATATATATATTTTTTTCTGGACTTATGATTTGATGATTTTTTTTTTTTTTTTTTTTTTATACACATTTACTAGCGCAAATTATTTATTTATAGGTATATCATACTTACATAGTCTGGCTGAAAAAGGACAAAAGTCCATCCAGTTCAGCCATTAAAAGAAAAAAAAAGTTATAATCCTACACCCACACCCAAAAATAACCCAGCAAAGCATGGTCCAATAGGCTCCTGCAGGGGAGAAAATTCCTTCCTGATCCTCCGAGCAGCAATCAGATATTTCCTGCATCAACTTTACCTATAAACGTTAGTAACCAGTTATATTATGTATATCCAAGAAAGAATCCCGGCCCTTTTTTAAAAGCAATCCACTGAGCTGGAAAACCAACTCTTGAGGGAATCTATTCTTGAGGGAGTCTGTGATGACCTCAGGGTGAATAACTCTACACCAAGTTCACTATATGAACCACTGATGTATTTATACATGTTGATCATATCCCCCCTTAATCTCCCCTTCTCGAGAGAGTATAAATTTAGTTCCTCTAATCTTTTATCATAGCTGAGCTCTTCCATGCCTCTTATCAGTTTGGCTGCCCTTCTCGTACTTTCTCCAGTTCCCCAATGTTCTTGTGAATTGGTGCCCAAAACTGAACTGCATATTCCAGATGAGGTCTTACTAATGATTTGTACAGGGGTAAAATGATATCTTTCTCTCTGGAGTCTATACCTCTTTTAATACGAGAGGATTTTGCTCGCTTTAGAAACCGCAGCTTGGCATTGCATGCCATTATTAAGCTTGTGATCTACCAGAACTCCCAGATCCTTCTCCACCATTGATTCCCCCAGTTGTACCCCCCCCCCCCCAGTATGTATGATGCATGCATATTCTTAGCCCCCAAGTGCATAACCTTACATTTATCAACATTAAACCTCATTTGCCACATAATTGCCCAATTAAATAGTGCATTGAGGTTGGCTTGCAATTTGGAGACATCCTGTAAGGACGTTGTTCCACTGCACAGCTTGGTGTCATCTGCAAAGACTGAAATGGTATTTTTAATCGCAGACCCTATATCGTTTATAAATATATTAAAAAGTAAGGGTCCCAACACTGAACCTTGGGGTACACCACTAACAACCCTAGACCATTCAGAGTATGAATCATTACCCACTACTCTCTAAATATGATCTTTTAGCCAGTTTTCTATCCATCTACATACAAATTTTTCCAAGCCCATAGACTTTACCTTACACATTAGCCGTGTGTGGGGAACTATGTCAAACGCCTTTGCAAAATCCAAGCATACCACGTCCACTGCCACCCCCTTTGTCCGAGATTTTGCTCACCTCCTCATAAAAAGAAATCAGATTTGTTTGACAACTTTTGTCTTTCATGAATCCATGCTGTCTGTTGCTTAAAATATTTTTTTCCAGCAAGAACTCATCTATGTGGTCTTTTATTAAACTCTCCAGTATATTCCCAACTATAGAAGTTAAACAGATCTATAATTACTTGGTAAAGAGTTTGACCCCTTTTTAAATATTGGCACCACATTGGCCTTACACCAATCCAGTGGTACTATGCCAGTCATTAAAGAGTCCCTAAACATTAGAAACAATGGCTTTGAAATGACAAAGTTCAATTCCTTAAAGACCCGTGGGTGTATGCTATCCGGTCCAGGTGCTTTATTCACCTTTATTCTGTCTAAATATTTTTGGATCATATCAATTGTGAGCCAATGTGGATTATCTGGAGCTGTGTCAACACCATGCCCATTATAGACAAGCGCTCCCCATGCTCCTTTGTATACACAGAGCTGAAGAAGGTATTTAATAAATTTGCCTTCTCTTTGTCCCCAGTCACCCACTTGTTTTAAACATTTTTTTTTTTACATTTCCTCAGTTACTCCCTGGTTTCCAGGCCTATACAAACAGTGAGGAGGGGTTTTCTTAGCTAAGCACACCTTCCTGCCTCTATGCCTAATCTCAGGCTGCATTCACTCATGGGCATTTTGAATCGCGGGCAGAATTTCTGCAATTCAGCCCACAATTTCAAAACGCTCTGATAAAATGACAAAGTGCAGAACGTGTTTAGGTACCATTCATTTCAATCTGTTTATTAATGGCACCTGAAAACAGAGTGTGGTTTTGCTGCGATTGTAGCACAATAAATCACGTTGCAATCATGGTAAATCATCGTGCAAAGACTTGGAAGCGGGGAAGAGCTGTGCTGTGGGGTAATTAGAAGGAAGAAGAAACCAGGAGCATTGGTGGGGGACCTGAGAAGAGGAGGTTCAGGGATGCTCTGTGCAATTCCATCAGACAGTGCAGGTAAGTATAACATGTTTGTTATTATAAAAACAAACGAAAAAATTAAAAACCACAAAATCTTTACAATCACATTGACCGAACGCTGAAAAATATACCTTTGTACTAACACTAAACTCTTAACACACTTAGGGTTGGTTCACACTGCCGTGACCTGGGATCCGACTTTTAAGACCCCAAGTCGCATGACATGAGAAATCCCATGTTAGTCAATAAGAGCTGTCTTAATTAGCACTCTACCTGTACTACTTCCAAGGCAACTGCTATCCTACTTGTGCCCATAGACTTTAATAGAAATCGCCTCCAAGCCAGATCCTCATCTTTATTGATGTGATTTGCATCCGACATTACAGGAAGATTATCCAGGCATTCCCTGAAAGTTGCTTCATAGTTGCTTCAAAGTAGTACCCAAGTCGCCTGACAAAGTAGCACTGCAAGTTGCGCAACTTTCAGGTAGCAGGAGTGTGAACAGAGACTTAACGTTAATTCTTAACCTCCTAAACTCTAATCCTGAAGATTAAAGTGGAGTTCCAGGTGCAACTTTTATTTTTGGAAGATAAAAAACTGCCCTCTTATACACAACTTTTGAATCTTCCATGTTTATGACAGTCATGGACTTGCATACATCAGTGTCACCCAAGATTGCTTTGCTTTTTATACCCCCTGGGCCAATCTCCACAGCCAAGAAAGGTGTGCGCTGTTTTTTTTTTCTCCTAGCTACAAGGAATCTTGTTAACACTGGAAACTGACCTCTTTCCCTACAATGAAGGAGCAGCCTGTTGGCCTGATCCATCTCAAATGCCTTGAAGAACTGATGGCTCACCATCATGATATGTGTTCCACTTACATTGCTACTTGAACCACCCGGATTGTCTTCTTAGGTACTCTGCAGTTTAAAGCCATTAACTCATGAGTTGTTTTACCATGCCAAAACAGCTGGAATGGGGCCTTCCAACTTGGATACCCAACCCCCTTTTTTCAGCTTTCCCCCTCTTTGTCTGTTGCTGCTCTCTCTGTTTTCCTCCACTTCCTTTTGCTTTTCTTTAGTTCCATGGCTACCTCCACTTCCTTCTGCTTTTCTTCAGTTCCA